TGGTTTAATGCGTGAATCCTCTGGCAGGAAGATTTTTTCAAAACAGCTTTATAAATTTTCAGTTTTTTTATCGCTCCAGTACTCATCGTGGGTTTTGAGTATCTGGTTGAAGTTACATACCCAATACCTGAGGCATGCAGTTCTTCAACATTCAACGCGGCTTATTACTTTTTATCCATTATAGCAACTCTTCTATTTGAAGGGCTGTTCGAAGCCATCGACTACCTTTGGACCTTTGTGGTGATTTTATTCATTCTCGCTGCATGTGCCGGGCTGATAGTGTTAGTCAATTCAAATTTGCGTAGAAGAGATGCCAATTTACATTTGAACCAGAATGTTCCTAGTCCAGAACCTGAGCCAGAAATGAGTTATTATACTGGTACTAGAGTGACTACTGCCAAATTTTAAAGAGAGAAAAAGAGCATTTCCTATATATCGCAAATATTGCGCACGGTCCAGTATTGTGAAGTTGATTTGGTTATAATCAGTATATAATTTGTAAACAGTTGCATCAAATGAAGATTTGTTATTTATTATCTAATTAGTCATGCGCAACTTTTATTTTATGAGATTAACGTAATCAATCCCAAAAATGTTAATAAATGTGATTTTCTTTAGACCTTTGAGTTTTATTTTTATGATTTTCAGCCTTGCCCCACGAGTGTCTTGCATTCAAGTACCCCAGTTTCAATTATAATTTAATGGTGAGTTAAATTAACTAAAATAACTATAATGTTTAGCAGTTGTGTGCATTCAAATAGTTCCTGATTTGGAATGTAGTGTTTTAAAAACGTTGTATCTACATATAATCTACGTCTCAAATGAGGGAATATAAGATGAACTTTTTCTCGCGGGTTTCAAACCGATATTTGAAAATGAATCGTTATTTATTTTCAAATATCTTCAAAACTAAGCAATAAAACCCTAAAAAAACTGAGGATTATTTTCAACCCGTAGAAGGCAAAATCAACTAAAATAAGTCTCACATTTTTGAATTTGCCAAATTTGTATGCAGGTAAAGAAAGTCAGTCCGATTTAAGTAAATATTAGCTAACCAATGACAGTAACCGCAATAAGAAAGCAATTAGCAAATGCATTATTTGTTAATTAGCCTCGCCGGTAGTGAATTTTGTATAATAATGCCAAAGTAAACACATTGAAAGGGTATTTTGCTTATCGGTCTTTATCTCAACTGGGACCTTTTAAAATTTTCCTCGGACGAATTGTTACCATAATAAATTCAAGACTTTAAATGAATATTTTGAATAAAAAGAAATCATAGTATTGCAGATGGGTCTAGTTACATCAAATTGTCCATTAAGAGCCCTTGGTATGATCCAATACTAAAATACAAAAATATTTCCATAGTTAAAAAAATGGATATTATTCAGTACATCCAGTTATGGTTCATGGCTTCATTTAAGGGTCCCACCCGTAAGAAAAATGTTGCATAAAATTTGTTCCTAAGTACTAAATTACATTTTGGGTTGTGTGGGATGTAAATTGCATCAATTAATAATAGATTTGAGATTAGACAATGCATTTATGGCCTGAAAATTGGTTCTTAAGTGTTCCCATTGATGTGTTTGCATAGTACATGTTATCGCCTTGAGACCAAATGACTCTGAAAAGTACTGTTGCAATAACGACCTTTGATCACAAATAATCGACCATGGGATGTGAAAAGGGAACCAATCTTCTTCTAGGAAAAGATTGTCGCTGGCTGAACAGATAAAAAGCTCATCACTATGCCAAAATTGACTAAAATTAAAACAGTAGGTTTCGTTTCTGGACAATCTTCAGAATATTCTTTAAAGGGTTTTTTTAAGTTACTAAAATATAAATTATACACATTTAATAAAGTTCCAAGCATTCATACGTTTGTACTAAAATGCATGCGCTTTAACATTCCAATTGCATATTTGGGACAAATAAGCGAGTGAAAATTCCACACTCTATATCGTTCCCTAGATTAAAAATAGTGGTTCCAGTGTGAATTTTAAAGCATATGAAATAGTGGTAGTGAGAAAACATTGAACAATGGAATTTAAAGAACATTCAGAAAAAAGTGATCGATTGATTTAGCTTCATTTGAGGATTCCGCTTTTCTATTTACTTATTGTTCTTGTTGCTTGAATGAAACAGATTTAACAGCTAATTACTATGCGAAAGCTTGTGATTTTATCGGTTTAGGTTGGTTGCTGCAATGTAAAGTATCATCTTTCAGTAGCTAGAATTCGAACTTTTCCCTGGTGCAGATGAATCAAGCTCATCAAATAAAAAAATATTTGAAACACTGATTTGACTCACCAACGTTGTACGGTTTTCTTCTTATTTTCGGCTTTAATCAGCTGCTAGGCTCGTGCTCAAGACCTGCAACATAAACAGATCAGTGAATTTGAACAACAAATACATTAATTATTGATTTCCAATGTTTGTAAAGATAACCATTTCCGTCTAAGTATTTGATAAAGTCACTGAACAAGTTTGGGCATCATTGGATTGGAATTGTATTTATTTTCCTCTTGCGATAATCACCTCAATTAGAAACTCTGCATTTGAACGGGCATTCTTCGGATGATTCACTTTGAGCACTAATGCTTGTGCGGCTCAGGAACAATAAATCGACACTCATTTTCTAGACGAAAATTGCATTTTACAATAATAACAACTTAGCAACAGGAATTGATTTGATTAACCTACTGACTTAAAAGCGGCAGAAGACTGAAAAATGGCAATTGAAAAAAGTACAGAATTTGTTTCATTTAAGTAGGTAATCAATACGTCATTTACTTCAGAATTATCTGCTTTGGTTCCACTAGAAAAGAGATTCAAATGCCAAAATGCACACAAAATTATAATAATGTGTCACTTATATTATTAAATTATAGTTATGAAAGTTATTTTAATCAGAAACATATGTTTTTAATTCCCTGATTTGCTCACTAAATATTTTTTACTTGGTGATTGACTAATGGTTGATTAAAACATCAAGTTCAACAATTTAGAACCACCATGAGGAGAAATCATCAAAAGTCGCGTTAAAATCAGTGGCTTTTCCAAGAAACAATCAGTATTAAAAAGGTAAAATTCTGATTATGAACTATTGCTGCTTCCAAACGCATTGCAAAAATTAAAACAATTTGTATTAATTAAGCTGCCAGCTAATCGCTAATATTTGCTGCCATTTTAGGACTGTGAAACAGCCACAGGTTGTGAAATTTCGAAAGCTCTAAATCTTGAGCGGAGTTTTAAGGTTCGAAATCGACCAATTTACGGAGAAGCTGCGCACCAATAGAACGGTCGTACTCTGACTAGCACCCTTATCTCAACCAATCAGAGCTCAAGTAATCCACAGGGGTGGAAACTGTCCTTCGTAGTACTTGACACCTAGAACCTGACAATTTGCCACATTTGCAGCTCTAGCTTCGTACAGAGCGGTTTTAGTACTTTGGATACATATACAGAAAGTGTTGTGGTGTTTTTGTGCCTAAGAAGATAATGGAAGGTTACGTTTGTAACGGTAAGTGGAGTAGTTTAGTATTTAATTTAACACTAAATCGAAATTGTTTTGCTTTTTTCTTCTCCTAATTCTGTATTCATTTTATATGTCTTTTTCATGTTAATTTTTATATTTTCTGTCGTGGTATTTTTAGTTGTATTAGGAATTATATAGATGAATTTAAGGAACTAAATAATATTTGTATGATATTAGAAAATAAAGCATAATGTTTTCTTTTTTTGAAGATTGAACAATCCGTTTCTTTTCATGTAACTAACCTTATTTTTGCTTCAGCAAAAGAAAAATTGCGGATATTAGT